TCCTTTAAGAGTTTTTACCATGAAAGAATGTTGAATTGTTTAAAAATGCTTTTTCTAAGTTACTGAGATGATCCTGTGGTTTTTGTCCATTCTATCAATATGGCATATCACATTTACAGACTTTATATATTGAACCATTCTCACGGCTGTGGGGTAAATCCCACTTGATCATGAGGTATGACTTTTATAAATTTCTGAAAATTTTGCCAGAGGTGTGTCATGTGTACTCGCCAGAGACAGAGACAGAGTGAGAAAGCACCACCGAGGAGAATGATCATGCCACGATTTCTTCTGCTCAATTTCTCCGTCCTTTCAGGATTTGGGGCATGCAAGCACATGCAAGGTGCCGGGTCCAGGACTTGAACCATACAGTCACCCATGCACAATTTAAGTCCCAGAACTGACAGCTTGAAGAACATGCCAGGCACATGTGCATGCAGGCCCAAAATCCCAAGAGGAGACTAGAGAAGAAAGGATTGTGGGATGGCCATAAAAATCATCTAGAGATCCATTTTCTGCCTGGCAAGAGTCCAGCTGCTAGAATATCAACTCTAATTCTCAAATCCTTTCATTAGTAGATGCTAAGCCAACCTATTACTTAACGGTTAATGGGAGCCTAATCCCACATCGCCAACCACACGGTTCAAATCCTAGCCCCAGCAGCTTCCAAAACAGACCAGGTGCATGTGGGTGTGTGCCCAGTCTTGATATGACAGAAAGACTGAGGAGGAGGGGCTGTGGCATGACCACACTCCATGGGGGGAGGGGGCTCTTTCTCTCTGCTGAGTATATTTTTGATTTTTGCCCTGTGACAATTAAAAACACAAAAGTCGGTACTAAATGCTGTAACCTACATGAAATGCGCCCGTTCAAAGGCGAGTGCTTCATTTTCACGTTGTGTTGCTGGAGCACAGCACAGCGCTGAGGGGTGCGGCTTTTCCTCGGCTCTGCTCCCCTCCAGGTGGAAAGTCAGACTCACCTTAGCTGTTTCCCTCTGGGCGACTATCTTCCTCAGGGAGCACCTCAGCCTTCGAGGCCTCCTCTTGCTGCTGCTCCGCGACCCTCCTGTGGACCATGGTTTCCGTGTGCCTGTGGATGATCTGATGAGCTGCAAGAATGTGTTTCCGCTGTGCCTTCCTCACTGCATCAAAGTGACAGTAGAGTTTTTAGTCTGAAAGACTGAATGGCATCGTTCCCAAGCGTCTTCAAGAGACGGGTAACAGAGGGTGCACAGTGGAAGTGGACACACAGGGGAAGGACCCTGGTTTGCATCCTGGGGCTTCCTTCTACACTGGATTCACGGCGCATGCCCAGGCTGGCTGAGGCTGGGGTTGGGTCGTGCCATGAGGACCCTGCAGGGACTGCCTGCCTCTCTCTCTCTCTTTCTGTCCTTTCTCATGGAAAAAATTAATGAATAAACTTTTTGTAAAAACCTCAGATTTTTCTGACTTAGGGCTGATGCGGTTAAATGCAAGTTACCTGCTCTCTGTTTTAGAGGGATACCTTCTAAAGGGAAACCAAACCCAAACCTTACTCCTTGGGGCTCCCTCTGTTCCCATTCTTTGGTTCAGTCTGGCCTGAACCAGGCCTGCCTCCATGGCACTCCACGGCAGTTCCCCTTCCCTGGAAGGCCTTCGCTCCAAATCTGACCCTTTCTGCCAAGCCCGCCCAGCCCCAGCTTCCCCAGATTGCTCACTGCTGATGCGCTCGGCCCCGTGGCTCATTTATCACATGGGGTTGTTCCAGCCCGCTCAGCATGGAAGACATGTGACTTGTGTGAGTTACATTTTGTTTTCTCCCTAGATCGTAAGTGACCTAATTATAAAGACCTGCCTTGAACTTCTCATTGAGCCTTATTTCCTAATGGAGAGGGCACTTATCAATTGATGATGAGTTTCTGAGCTCACGGCTTTAGAAGGTGATCTTAGCTCCAAATTCTACAAACATTTGTTCCAAGGCTTAGTATAGACAGTACTGGACACCTAAGCCCTTGGACGGAGAGATGATGACAGTGACGATCTAGCAGTCAGTGTTTGTCCTTACTTTGTACTAGGCACTGCTTTAAACTTTAGCATGTGCTTATTCATCTAATCTTCACACAAGCCTAAAAGAGAGTATTAGTAATACCCCTCTGCAGGCCAGCCACAGTGGTGCAGGAGTAATATGATACCCCACTACTCTGAGTTCACATGGGAAGGTCTCAGGGTTGCATCTTGAGGTCTCCCTGTACATGCCAAGCATGTCAGCTCATGGCCATGATCTTGGCTGGCTGAGAGAGGAAGCAGATCATAGAGTAAAGATTCTACTGGGGCTACCAGCAGGTGGCATAATGGTCAAGGCACTGGACTCCCACATAAAGGATTGCAGTTTGAGTCTTGGACCTGGTGGCTTGAAACTCATACCGAGCATGTGTGTGTGTGTGACCAGAATCCTGAGAGGAGACTGGAGGAGAGAGGATCTTGGCGTGGTCAGCCTCTAGAGGGAGTGATTTCTCTCTGTCTCTCTGTCTTTCTGGCAAGCACATGTATCTTATACAAAAACATTTAAAAAAAATTTTTTTTTAAAAGGTGCCTGTATCTCTCTTTCTCTCTCTGTCTCTCCCCCCCTCTACTCATCACTGTCTTTCTCTCTCATGGAAGAAATAAATAAATAAGCTTAAACAATCTCCACTTTTAGAAGAAGAAACAGACACAGAGATTAGGTAATTTAGAATTTACCCAGTCATATAGCTAGTAAAGGACAATAAGAAGTACTGCAAAGGGCCAGCAGGTGGCACAATTTTTCAGGTACTGGACTCACATGACTGACCATGATTCAAGGCCCGGACCCAGTGGCTAGAAAATTACACCAGGTGTGTGTGTGTGTGTGTGTGTGTGTGTGACCAAGATCCCGAGAGGAGAACCAAGAGACTGTAGTGTGGCTATCTCCCCTAGGGGACGATTTCTCGCTTTCTGTCTCTCTGGCAGTGCATATGCCTGATAGCAAAAATAACTCTTCCCCCCAAAAAAGAGACTACACCTATAGCTGTTGTAAGAAACTGATACAATGTAGATTTAAAAATGCTTAGTGCACTGCCCGAAACTTAGCACATGTTTAAAAGGTGGCAGTTACTGTTATTTCACACATACATAAACAGGTCTCTTTGAGATCTTTCTGATCTATCATCTTTTTGAAAAGTGAGATATCTTGAAATGGTCTGTGTATTTTTTTTAGAGCTATCTTATTTATTTTTTATTTTAATTTGAACAGAGAGGGACAGAGTGAGAAAGAAAGAGAAAGAAAGTGAGAAAGCAAGTAGCCAGGTCCAGGACTCAAACCACAGTCAGCTATGTGGGAGCCCAGCACCCTTAACCACCACGCCATCTGCTGGCCCCAGTTCTGTGTATAATATTATGGTAATTGTCAGTAGAGAGCATATATCCATGGGCCTCTGATTGAAAAAGAGAAACAGAAGGTCCTAGTGTGTGCTGGCTTATCCATGTGGCTTTTCCCCCTCATTCCTGATAGGGTATATGTGCTTGTGTGTAAGAGTAAGGCAGAGAGAGAGAGAGAGAGAGAGACTCTCCATTGAGTCTGGCCACACTGTGATCTTCTTCCGGTTCCCCAACCCACTGGACACCCACATGCATGTGCCCAGTGTGTTTCAGGCCACCTGGGCGGGTATTCGAACCACATTCTCCACATGCTCTTTCAGCACCTTAGTAGAAGAACATCACCACTGTGGCCCTGTGGCTTTTTCAATTTGGCATAAATATTGCCAGAAGAGGCTAAGGATATGCCCAACTTGCCTACAGACAAGTCTGGCTAGATTCTTTCAGCTCAAGTTCCTCCTCCAAATCCCTCCCCTTGGGCCCAGGAGAAGCTGGGGGAGGGCATCTCAAACTAGTAATGATTAGCTCCATGATCCCCCCTCTTCATTTCCCTCAGGTGGAATTGCTCTGGGCAGGCTGATCTCACTTCAGATCCAGGAGAAGTGAAAAAAAAGGAGCAGATTTTTCTAAGGATCTGGAAAAATAAGGCTCTGTTACAATATAAGGTGACAGAACTATGCATTACTTGATCCGAAGATTAAATCTGTTGGTACAGGCACGATTATACACTGTTGATGGGAGTCTGAATTAGGACAGTCTTAGCGTTGATCATGATGTAAAACGTACATGCTCTAGATCTCCGCAGCTGTTCTGCTGGGAACTTACTCTATGAAGTGTGGCCAGGATATGTGTGAAATCAATTCCCGGCAGCACTGCTAGTAATAAACACACACACACACACACACTGGGAATAAACTAAATGCTTATCACTAGACAGTACTGATTTAAAAAATTACACTACAACCATGTAACGGGAAAATGGGTTATTTCTTTGTCCTTTCCAACTATGTTAGAACTCTACCATCTCGGGATCAGCAGTTGGTGTAATGGCTATGTCACTGGACTCCCATGTAGTCGACCACAGTTCGATTCCCAGACCTGGAGGCTTAACCTGATGCTGGATGCGTGTGCATGTGTGCCCAAGATCATAAGAGGTGAATGGAGAAGAAGGGATTGCAGCGTGGCCATCTCCCCTGGGTGGAGGGTGATTTCTCACTTTCTCTCTCTGTGTCTTTCTGGCAAGTGCACATGACCTATAGCAAAAAAATAAATAAACAAAAAAGGGACCAGCAGTTAGCATAATGGCGATGTCGCTGGACTCCCACATAGTCAACTGCGGTTCAAGTCCCGGACCCGGTGGCTTAAACTCACACTGGGCGCGTGTGCATGCATGCCCAAGATCCTGAGAGGAGAATGGAGGAGAAGGGATTGCGGCATGGCCATCACTCCTCTGGGGGGTGATTCCTCGCTTTCTGTCTCTTTGTCTCTCTCCATCTTTCTGGCGAGCGCACATGCCCTATAGCAAAAACCTCTCAAAAAAAAAAACCTCTGCAAAAAAAGAACTCTACCATCTTTTTACACCTGATTAAACAATCTAAAACAGGTGTCCCCAACCCCAGGGCCATGCACTAGCCCAGTACCAGCCTACAGGCTATTAGAAATCAGGCCTCATTACAGGAGGTCATCAGTGAGCAAAGTTTCTTTATATTTAAAGCTGCTCCCCATGCCACCTGAGCTCTGCCTCCTGTTACACCACTGGTGACATCGGATTCTCACACTAACCCCACTGTGAACTGCACGTGCGAGGGATCTAGGTGGTGCTGCTCCCTATGAGAATCTAGTGCCTGATGATCTGAGGTGGAGCTGAGGCAGTGATGCTAGTGCCGGGGGAGTGGCTGCAAATGCTGTGTTACGATGAGCTGTATAATGGTCTCCTTATACATTACGATATAATAATCAGAGGAATAAAGTGCACAGTAAGCACAATGTGCTTGAAACCACCTCCCCCACCCTCCCACAACTGGGGAAAAATTGTCTTCCGTGAAATCGGTCCCTGGTGCTAAAAACGTTGGAGTGGCGGATCTAAAATATTGCATGCTTTTCCGCTTACACCTGTCCAAATTCCACAGCGTACTTCTGAAAGTGCCTGAGCTGCTACTTCACTTAAACATTGGTTCTCGTTGTCCTGTTGCTCTGGGATCAGGCCTGCCACCACCTCATAGCTCCAGGAGAATCACTGCTTTCTTTTAAAATTTTGCCTTCTTTTCCATTGACTTAAAGCATCAATCTTTAAAAACAGGGCACCTTCTGACAAATGATAAATTCGGATATTTATACTTAGATACAGACCCAGCAGAAACAAGGTATTTGTGGCACAGGCAGAGCAGCAGAGTCAATTTAGACCCGTGAGACATGGCTTTCAACACCCACGACTCACATGCCTGCTTCCCAGAGGCCGCAGCTTGCAAATCCTTCATATTCTCAACATTTGCTTTATGTTTTTAGGGTTTTTTAAAATTTTATTTATTATTTTTATAATTTTAAAAATTTGCCCTAAGGCACACACACTCACCAAAAATCACCCGAGAGAGAGAGAGAGAGAGAGAGAGAGAGAGAGAGAGAAAGAGAGACAGGGGAAATGAGGAAGCAAGCTGCCTGATCCAGGACTTGAACCATGTTCAGTCATGTGGGAGTCCAGCACTTTAACCACCATGCCACCTGCTGCTGGCCCCCAGTTGTGTGTTTTTTTGTTGTTTGTTTTGTTTTGTTTTGTTTTTAACAAATCATGAAATACACCTTTTCTGAGAACTTGGGAACTTCATTCTCAAGAAGGTTTAGGGAGCACTGGACAACAGCACCGAGGTAAAATATGATACTCTGCAAGGCCGATTCATATGGAAACATTGTGCATTCATGTCCAGAGACCTCCCAGAGAACTCTGGACATCCGTCTGCCCATGACCAGGCCTTGCTGAAGCTAGGTTGGATCACAGCATCAAGACGCAGTTAGGGGTGCTGTTTCTCTATCCCTTGGCCTCTCTCTCTTTCTTTCTCTCACTCATGGAAAATAAACATTCAAAATAAACAGGGCTGGCCCCATAGGCTAATGGTTAAGGGACCCAGACCCCACATGGCCGTCCATGCTTCAAATTCTGGCCCTGGTGTCTTGAAAAACATGCCAGGCACTTGTAGGTGTGTGTCCAACATCTTAAGAAGTTAGGGACATGGAGAAGAAGGGGCTGCAGTGTGACCATGCCCCATTGCGCATGCTTTCTCTCACTGTGTCTGTCTCTGGAGAACAAATGCACCTCTGACAACTAAGAAAGAAAGGTAGGTCTGGATTTTGTTACTGGGCCAAGCTTACTAGAACTGCACCCCATCTATACCAGAGGTGCTTATGCTCTGGAATCAGAGTGTGTGAAGAGAACTTGGCATGAAGTCCGCGTACGCCACCTGACCTGGCCTTCACCCCAGACTTTTGGCTTCCATGCGTGAGCTGTATCCCTAACATTCTCGGTTATTGGCCTTCAGAAATTTCCCCTTACCTCTGCTTAGCTTTAAGTCTCTGAGCCATTAAAATAATTTACATCCCCTAGATCATAAAGTGGAGCATTTACAACGGCTTACCTTTCTCTTTGACAAAGTCTTTTTGCACCTCTGGGATCAGAAAACTATAAACCAACTCGGCAACAATCTCCTCCGACTGAAGTTGAGTTCGACTAAAGAATAAAAGACAAGATGAACCCTTACCTTTGTTGCTCTCCGTGAGCTGCCAGTTTACACACAGCTCTTCCTTGCCCGTGTGGGCGACGTCACTGCCCAGATCCTGCCATCACCCTTTCCATGATCTGAAACAGCACGTTCCTGGTGAGTGTGGTTAACGCCATGGAGAATTTGGATGCGGCCCTGTCCTCACTTACTCTGCCCGATAGGAAGAGAATGTTAGGCATACAGCTCACGCATAAAAGCCAAAAATCTGGGGTGAAGGCCAGGTCAGGTAGCGTACGCGGACTCACACTGCCCTCCTGCTTCCAAGTATTCTAAAGTAACACAGAAGTAATCCAGATCGCCCCAGCTCTGGGGGCTTGGAAAACACCTGGGCATGCATGCGTGTACACGCAAACTCCTGACAGGGTGGAGAAACTGTCGGATGGAGGAGCTGGAGCACACTGAGACGGAATACTTGGCTTTTCGGGTTCTGGTCTCTAAGGTCAGAGAGACCTGCCCCAAGACACAAACAAAGCCACAACCATGAGAAAAGTATGAAAAAAGAAATTTTTAGTAAAAAAATCACACCTGGGAGACATTCAGGCAGGCCAGCTGTCAGACGACAACTGCACCAGGAATGATACAGGTGTCAGTTTTACCGTGGGGTCATGTCATGAATATTTAAGAGAGGAGGTCTGTCACTGGAGCCAGCTCGGTATGTGTGTATGTGCATGCATGTATATGTATGTATATGTGTGTATGTGTGAATATGTATGTATATGTGTGGGTGTATATGTATGCACGTGTGGATGCATGTGTGTGTATGCATGTGTGTATATGTATGCATGTGAATGTACATGCATTTGTGTATGTGTATGCACATGCACATGTGTGTTATGTGTGTGTATATGAGTATGTGTATGTGTGCATGTGTAAGTGTATGTATGTATGTATATTAATGTGCATGTGTGTGAATGTATATGTGTGTGTGCATATGTGTATGGATGTATATGTATTATGTGTGTGTGTGCATATGTGTGTATGTATGTATTTTCGGGCTTCTGTTGCACCTGCATACTTGTGGTGAGGTAAAGGAAATTTTATTGCCCGGCTGGGGAAAACTGCTTATATGCCCAGGGTGGACTTTGAAGGTGTGAGTCTGCAAACAGAGACGATTCTGCCCATCTCAGTCTCAAGACGCGAATGGAGGTGAGGTACTAGCCCAATACCGGGGTGGTGTGTGCACATGTATGGCTGTGGGAGGGGAAGAGAGTTACATTGTCCAGGTCCTCTAATGGCAGCTTAAGTAACAAAAGTAGATAACTTCTCTCTTGGCACTAGGGGGGCTAGCTACAACCCCCGGTAACAGGGACTGATGTGTCACACGTCCCCTTTGTTGGAATCTTGAGACTGACTGCTCATGTCTGACTAGATAATGCAGGAGAAGGGATCACAGTGTAACCATGCTCCACTGGGGAGTATTTTCGCCCTCTCTCTGTGTCTCTTTCTCTGGAGAATGGATGTGTCCTCTGGCAAAATTAAAAAAAAAAAAAGTAATCCAGATTGCAGGGGATAACTAAGAATTCAATTCCCAATGCTACTACCACATGTAGGTATAGGCATGTTGGACACTGAAGCATAAGTTAGATATCTGTTTCTCCTTGGTGGTAAAATCTTAAACTCTTGAAAAAATATATATGAGTAACAGGAAATGGCCTGCCCATCTGCATTCTGTTCTCGCGGTGCATACCGGCTTTCCATTTCGTAAGCGATGTCGTTGATTTCCTCGGCCATCTTCTCTATTTCTGCCCTGGCTTGTTCTTCTGCAGTATTCTCTTCAGTATTCAGTATTATGTCTTCCAGATAGGAGGTTACAGTACTTTGGTGAACTTTAATCACCTGAAAAAAAAAAAATACCCCACTTACTGAGAACAGGAAAGCCATCATAAACCAGACAGGAAAAACACACAAACACTGGTTGCCTTTTTTAAGCACATAAGCTCCATTCATTAAGTCAATGGTCTTTTCATTGGTCAGTCTTCTTCTTTACCATCTAGTCATTCTGTTTCTCATCCACTCACCAACGCATTCTGGGCAGCTCCTGTGGTCTTGCCTGTTTTAATATCATGGATCTTACTTGGGAGTGTGCAACACAGATTCTAGGGAGGGTCAATAACCCAGGTTTGGATCTGGGGCTTGTTTTTACCAGCAGTGTGACTTGGTCAAACAACCTAACTGTAGCAGAGACTAGGAGATATTTCCCAACGTCCTTCTCTCCTTCCTTGTGAAATAACAAACTCTTGGATTTAGCTGGACAAACAGTTGATGAGAATAAAGACCACATTTCCTAGTATCCAAGGGAGCTAGACATGACCTGACAGCCAAGTTCCGACCAGGAAAATATATGCACGTGTAATTTCCAGAGAGGATTTTGTTTTTAAAATTTATTTATTTCTTCCATAAGAAGGAGAGAGAGAGACAGAGACAGAGAGAGAGACAGAGAGAGACAGAGAGAGAAAGCTCCCCAACAAGTCTTGATGCTGTAATCCACCCCTGGCGTTAGGCAGCCCCAGATCATGGGCATGCACAAGTCTGGCCTACTTAGGGCGGTCTCTGGTTGTGAACCTGGAACCTCCCATGCGATTCAGCCTTGGAGAGATTCTCGTTTTATCCCTATACCACATCCGGACCTCAGAATGGATTCTGAAAAGATCTAGCTTCCTTTATTCTCCTTACATTTTTCACTGAATGGAGACATGGGGCTGGAACACCAACAGTCATCTTAAATTGGCTGAAAGCCACGAGTTAAAGACGGTAGAGCAGAGAGCTAGAAGGATCCAGTCTGTGATGAACTTATTAATCATGCCAGCCTTGGACTGCTGCTTCTTGAAATCATGAAATAGAATGCATATGTTTGATGTTCAGAGCCCATACATGTACTCTGTCGTGAACCAGGTTAAAGCCAGCACCCGTGCAACCACGGCGAGCATCTCGAAGGCTGTGAGTCCTTCCTGACCACAGCCCCCTTCCACCTTCACGGCTTCATGGTACGTACTTCCTTTCTTTATGATTTTGCTTCTGAAGTATGCAACCATAAGCATAGTTGAGTTTCCCCTGTTTTATAGTATGTACACAGGAAGTATCAGAAGGGTCAACTACAACATATTCAGATTCATGACCGTATGTATTCTGTCTCCTTGACAGGTTATGAACTTCTTGGAGCTAAGGTATTTCTTTGCTTCATGTCTGAATATTTCTTTGTACCTGAGATAAAGCCCGGGACTCAATAACAACTCAGCATCTATTTCCCAGTTAGCAGGACCCCAAGTGTGCAATTCTTAGTGTTTATCTATCTACATATAAAACCTTAAATCCCTACGCCTTCCCCATAGGAGAGTCTCAAGGACCAGCTTAATACAGTGTCCACCAAGTGGCCATCCAACCAAAATATCCTGACTGGATGTCTATTACATACAGGACTAAGCTGGTGTCATGGGAGGCATGGAGGGAATATACTGCGTCGTCGGAAAAGTCATGCTGCATGTTTGCATAGAAAAACTATTCTACATCATGCCGTTTCCAATAACCCACTATAATATGCCCCCTCTTGTAAGAGCACTGTCTCATTCATGAAGGAAGTGGCACCTGCATGGAATTATTAAATGGCTGAGTCATAATAATAGTAGAGAGGCAGGAAGTTTAATGTGGCTCATCCATAGGTATATACGTGTGTGTGTGTCTGTACATATATTCTTATAAATGCATAAGCTTCTGGACACATCCATATGCTCAGAGATGCGAGAGTGAATAAGGAGGCAGGTGGCTCTCTGAGTGCCCCTCCTTGTCTTTGCTAATACTGTGCACACTGAATTATATTTGTAAATATGTCTTTACGTATGTGCCTGCAAAAATGTATATGCATTTAAATATGATTCTGTAAGTGTGTATCTGTGTTTCTCACTATCTATGTTATTTTCTTCTGACACTTTATTAAATGTATGTATTACTGTCTTTTGCTCTTTCTATGTACAAGCACAATTGTCTAACTGCCTTCAGGAGGGTCTGTATAAAGGGAGGTTGGGGAAACAGGAAGAAAAATAGCAATTATATTTTAATTAGGAAAATCGGTAATTAAAATGATGAATGCTGTTTGGATCTGTCCATACCTGGATACTTTCTTTCTTTCTTTCTTTTTGGAGGGGGAAGACTACAGGGCATGTGCTGGCCGGAGATAGAAAGATAGAAAGAGAGCGAGCAAGAAAGATGCAAAGTGAAAAACCAACCCCTCTTCCCGGAGGGGAGGGTGGCCACACTGCAATCCTTCTTCTCCACTCTCCTCTTGGGCTTTTGGGCAGCACGCACAGCACCTGGTGTGATTTTTGAGCTGCTGGGTCTGGGACTTCAATCACAGTCGGCCATGTGGGAGTCCAGTGCCTTAACCACCATGCCACCTACTAGCCCCTGGATACATTTCTTAAGGTTTATTTATTTATTTCTTCCACGAAGGACAGGAACAGAATGAGAGAGGTGGAGATAACAACTCCAACAGGGTTTGATGCCACAATCCCAGCGCAGCCTTGGCCAGGTCTGGATCCTGAGCATACTCATTGCTTGGCATACTCAGGGAGGAGTCTGGGCCTGGACCCAGAACTTCTAGGTGGGTCAGCCTCACAGAGCATCATGTTCTCCACTGTACCGTCATTGGTCCCCTAGACACATTCTTTTTTTTTTTTTTTTTTGGAGAGGTTTTTGCTATAGGGTGCATGCGCTCACCAGACAGACAGAGAGAGACAGAGAGACAGAAAGTGAGAAATCACCCCCCAGGGGGGATGGTCACGCCACAATAATCCCTTCTCCTCTGTTCTCCCCTCAGGATCTTGGGCACACACTCACACGCACCCAGCGTGAGTTTTAAGCCATGGGGCCCGGGATGCGAACCGCGGTCGACTACGTGGGAGTCCAGTGACATAGCCATTACGCTAACTGCTGGTCCCCCCAGACACGTTCTTTACATACGTGATCCTTGAATCAGGCTGGAAGGATGATCTTAACCCTTTCTTTCCCTTCCTAGACATAGGTGACATTTCCTGGCACCATTCCCAGTTAGAAGATAACTTCCTAAGAAGTTTTTGTTTTAAACCAGTCTCTCCCATTCTGTTTTGAGCAGAGTGATTCCTCGGTTCCATTTCTTTTTATTCTCACCCTCGGATGGTTCTTCCCATCCACAGCTGGTCTTCACTCAGTGATATTAGGTGGGGGATAGTAAGTTCTGGTTTGCCCACCATTTCTCCACCTCTGTAACTCTTCTGTGGAGCCAGGTGTGCTAGGATGGTAGGAAGCTAGAACACAGAGTAGATCATCTGCCACTCCATTGGGAAACCTGACCTTGACAGCATGTTACCCAGAACTTCTTAAGCTGTATAGAGGGAGGGCAAATGTTTAGTTTTAGTCAAAAGGTTAGTTTTAACCAAATATGCATAGATTAACCCTAATTCCATGGGAATCAAGTAAATCATTAAAACCTCAGACGAAATAAAAAGTTCCCCAAATTGACATGCTTTTTTTTTTTTTTTAACCTGAGGAGCTGAAAGGTGTCCACATACAGATTCAAACAACCCTCTTGGAGAGGAATCTTATTAAACTCTCTCCTCTCCACAACTAGTCCAGAGGAAGTACTCACACAGCCTAACCTTGACATCTGAGGCATGCCGGTCCTAGGAAGCCTCTCCTGTGTGCACCTCAGAGCAGCCAGCCAGCCCCGCTCTCCTTCCATCTACTTCCTAGGGGCCCAGACCCCCTTCTTGAAAGAATACACACACCAAGTGTAGCAGGTGGTTCCACTGACTCTCCTTTCTCTTGACTACAGGAAAAGAGAGGAATCCCTCATACCTCTGAGAGTGTGTGTGCGTGTGTGTATTGGGGAGGCGGGTAACAGTCAGCCCTGCTCCCTTTAAATAAATCTCCCTCACAAATCCTCTCCAATTTAAACACTTAGCCTTCTATATTCTCAGTGAGGGTGAGACTGCTTTGAGATATTATTGGTTTCTAGAATTTCCTCTAAATTTGCTTCATGATTTCTTTGGGATTTTATATCCATGGTACTTTGGTCAGAATTCTCATTTACCAGGGCTGGCAAGTGGTGTGGTGGTTAGAGGTGTTGGAGTCCCACATGGCTGACTGCAGTTCAAGTCCTAGACCTGGTGGCTTATGTTCTCGCTTTCCTCTTTTCTATCTCTGACTCTCTCCGGTCAAAATAATCATGACAAATGGAATTAAATAAATAAATTAACTCTTTTTTTTAAAGAAAAAGAAATTCTCATTTACCAACCTGGTAACTAACTCTCAAATTTATGTCTTCAGCCAAAACCACTCTTCTAAATTCCTTCCTGTATATCCACCTACTGAAACGATGCCTCCAGCTAGATGTCCCCAACTTAATATAAACTCAATTCCTTATTCAATGCCCACCCCTAAACCTAATCCTCTCCCCCCTTTCCCACCTCAGAAAGTATTAGGTCATCAGGAAAGTCGTGACACATTTTTTGCATAAGACCCAATAGGTCCATCATCTTCCATGGCTTTCGGCCCAAAGTGGATGGCGTCTTGACTCTCCCCTATGTCTCACTTGGGCCTAAACTACTTCAACAGCCTCCTTCCTGGTCCCCTTGTTTCCTCTGTCCTCCTTCCACCTGTGCACCACACAACAAGCAGGACTCATCCCATTTTCTAATTCTCTACCTAAAAGCATGTTCCAGGACCAGCAGTTAGCGTAATGGCTATGTCACTAGACTCCCATGTAGTCCACTGTGGTTCAAGTCCTGGACCCGGTGGCTTAAATTCATGCAGGGCGCGTGTGCATGTGTGTCCAAGATCTGGAGAGGAGAATGGAGGAGAAGGGATTGTGGTGTGGCCATCCCCCAACCCCCCGGGGGGCGATTTCTCATTTTATGTCTCTGTCTCTGCTTTTCTGGCGAGCGATCACTAAAACCTCTCCAAAAAACAAACAAACAAACAAACAAACAAACAAATAAAAGCATGTTCCAAGTTATTTGACCTCCAGGAAAGAAGGAGCATGTCTGTTTCTGTTTTTGTTTCCTCCGGAGTGCCTTTGCCCAATGCCTGGAATAGAGCAGGAACCTAATACATACTGCCTGAGTGAAATGAAAAATTAAAAACAAATATCGTTACATGTCATGAGATTCCTGTGCCTGGACTGGGCTCTTTCCAGGTGGCTTCCATCCCCCCAGGTGCCCCCACTTGCCTCCTTAAAGATCTCGTCCTCCTCGCGCAGGCGCCTTTGCTCCACCTGGCGACGGCCGCTCTCCTCCGCCTCCCGCATGCGCCGCTGGCGCTCGGCCAACATGGCGAAGGCGTGGATCCGCCTTTCCTCCTGCAGCCTCACCAGCTCTTTGGACAGGAAGTCAAACATGTCTGCCAGTGCCCTTCCTTCCAGTCCAGCCAGTTGGTTTTCCATCAGCGACATCTTAAAAATAATAATATTTCAGAATACAAATTCAACTGTGAAGGGTGATCCTTAAGAGGAGTGTTGGATTACCCAGAACTCTTGATACGTGACTCACTTTCAGAACGCTGTTAGTTTTTATTAGCAATAGTGTCTCAAAAGTTCTTACCAGGAAAACTTACTCCAAACACGAGAAAGTAGATTATTACATGAAAAAGTAGATTGCTTAGTCAGTCAGCAATAGGATCATAGTTCTCATACTATGAAACAGCTTTAACAAGACATTTTTGTTAGTGATCACACAGAATGTGTTTTTTCTTTCAATTTTATTCAAAGGTAAAGTGTGTTTTTCCAGACATTAAAAAAGTCAGTTTTATTAAAGATAATATTGGCATTTAATAAAATAGAATCTTTTAGAAATTCACTCATAATATCGTCTAATTTTTTAGTGCCTGGTTCTTTCACATAAGTTTGGAGAATTTTAAGATCTTGAATAACATGAAAGTAGAAAACCTTGGTACTGTTTAGTCTTTTAATAACTTTAAAGCCATTAATGACCATCTTTGAAATGATGCAGGAAAAAGCCTGTCTATGAGATCGCTGAGGTAAAATAAAGGCCCAGTGGAGCGCTCCGCCAGGAGTAAGCCACGGTACCTAGTTATGAATTCCCATGTCTAGGCTTTGCCCATGGACAAGAAACATGTTTAAGATGATTAATTCTTTTCAGCTTCATCCAGTTCCCCTTTCATCCCTAGGTTTAAAGGCAAAGGACCCTTCGTCCAGCCATATACTCCTTTAACATGGATGTGCTGTGTCTGTGTTTCTGTGAAAGGAGGTCTCAAAGGTAGTGCAGAGCCAACAGGTGGCATGGAGGTTAAGGCACTGGGTCAGCTTGAAAATCACACCAGATATGTGAGCATGCATGCCCAAAGTCCCAAGAGGAGAAAGGAGAAGAAGAGATTACAGCATGGCCGTGTCCCCAGAGGGTGATATCTCTCTCTCTCTTTCTCTTTCTCCAACAAGCACAAGTGCCCTGCAGGGGGAAAAAAAAGGTAGTGTGGCTATGTGGGATTTCTAGTCGAGTTCAGTTGTTAGCTCCAGTACCTTCATCCTCACCTACCTCCCAGCTGGCTCACAAGTCCAACCACAAAGCTCAATTTTACTTGTGTAATAGGAAGAGATGGAAAGAAAGGGCAAAACTTTGTATGAGCATGACACATTACATTCATAAACAGGGGACATTCAGCCCTGAGCTCACAAAGGATTCTCTCAACTCCTGGAAGCATAAGTTCCCTTGTGTGTGTGCGTGTGGGGGGGGAGAGATAACCTTCAAATTTCTTCTTTTGATAAAAAATTTTGCCAGAGGGCACGTGCACTTGCAAGAAAGAGGCAGAGATGGAGAAAGAGAGACAGAGTGAGAAGGCAACCCCCATGGGGCATGTTACACCACAATCTGTTCTCCTTCATTTCCTCCTCCCTTTTGGATTTTGGCCACAAATGCACATGAGTCCAGCATGTTTCTTTCAAGCCACCAGCTCCAGGATTCAAAGTGCATAGTAGGCCGTGTGGGATCCAGCTGCTTTAACCACCATGCCACAGGCTGGCCCCTTAGCCTTCAAATCCAAGATAACCTGCCCACTTACATCTAGCCTCCTCCCTCACCAAGAAATCTGAGTACACTCAGGTAGTACAATCAAATTTGAAACTATGTAAAAATATTTAGGAAAGTGATCCTGCAGTAGCCACATCACAGAACGCATTATATAATTAAGAACTGTGCGTTTTCTGTACTGTTTTCCACAGACAGTTAAGAGAAGGAGAAAAGGGGAGGATCAGACTGCTGTGGGCCTGTGTGAGGGGCCCCTTCCCTCAGGTCCCCCCCCCCCAGTCACTGGTGCATCAGGTACAGCTGTAGGTAAGCAAAGGGAGGCCTCGGCTAAGGGACAGCTTTCCCCTTCACTCCTCCTCCCTTAGCTTTTGGCTGGCATGGTCTCAGGCATGTGGATATCCACCGAGTGGCACAAATGAGTTGAAGAGCCTGGGTTAGCTTAGCTCCAGCTGCTAATGTCCATTATCAGAAGCCCCGAAGGACCGAGGAGGGCACGTTTCTCTCCACAGCCTCGGCGCCTGCTGCTTTCAGGGCATTCTCTCTATCTGGCTTTCCAGGACTCTAGGACTCCCAGACTCATGAACTGCAGTCCCCAGGATCTCTTCTACATTCTGCGGCCCCTCTGTTGGGTGTCACAGCCTGTGTCCTTCTTCCACCCTCCCCCAAGCTCAGCCGCCATCTATAGCACTGTTGTCATGTAAAAGAAATGGAGTCAGGGTCATTTCCATGCCTTTTACCACTTGTGCCCAGTTCCCATGCAGCAGGAGGGATGTATGCATGTTACCAAAGGTGGCTCACACTCATTTTGCTGCAAGCCTTATTTTCTTATAAGGCTCAACTTGGCACAAATTGATTCTTTTTCAGGTTGATTTAGGTAAGTGCGAAAGGAATAAAAAGTGTATCTACACTATAGCCAGCAATATTAAAAAATGTGTATTTGCAGACAAAGGACGGAAGAGAACAAGAAAAGTATTTACAGTTGTTAGTTTAGAGCTGCAATTCTCAGCTGTCAGGTGACAGCCGGGCAGTAACATACTTCATGTGCAGTTTAACCAGCACGAGCTCTACATAGCTCCAAAACTCAGCACTAAGTGCTGATATTTAAAAATAAATCTCATTTCTAACTCTTTTTTTCATGTTGTTTATTCATTCTGCTAAGTGCTCACTAACTGAAACACATTAGAGTTATCAAATATTTAAGAAAAATTGGAAGGAAAAAAATGTTTTAAAAAGTTAAAAAAAAGGTAATTTGGGGACCAGCAGATGTCATAATGGCTAGGTCGCTGGACTCCCATGTAGTCAACTGCAGTTCAAGTCCCGGACCTGGTGGCTTAAAACTCACACTGGGCGCATGTTTGTGCATGCCCAAAATCCCGAGAGGAGAATAGGGGAGAAGGGATTGCAGTGTGGCCATTTGCCTGTGTGTGTGTGTGTGGTGGGGGGGTGATTTCTCACTTTCTGTCTCTCTGTCTCTTTCTGTGTCTCTGAAGAGCCCACACACCCTGTAGCAAAAATCTCTTTTAAAATTTTTTTAAAAAGGAAAGGCAGTTATTATTTTTGGTTTTTGCTCTTATCTTTCAAATAAAGGAAATAGCATATTCAATTCAGTGAGGGCATGCCCCCATTATTTTATTTATTTATTTTTTTGTGAGAGGTTTTTGCTATAGGGTGTGTGCACTCACCAGAAAGACAGAGAGAGACAGAGAGACAGAAAACGAGAAATCACCACCCAGGGAGGATGGCCACACCACAATCCCTTCTCCTCCAGTCTCCTCTCAGAATCTTGGGCACACATGTACATACACCCGGCATGAGTTTAAGCCACTGGGTCCAGGACTCAAACCACAGTTGACTACATGGGAGTCCAGCGACATAGCCATTATGCTAACTTCTGGTCCCAGGTACACCCCCATTTTAACCATGAACTGCAGCAGTTTTTCTTTCTTTCTTTCTTTCTTTCTTTCTTTCTTTCTTTCTTTCTTTCTTTCTTTCTTTCCTTGTTTAAATATAACACAGGGCACATGCACTTACCAGAGAGAGATCAAAAACTGAGAAAGCACCCCATGAGGGATAGCTGTACCAAAATCCCTCTCCTCCATTCTCTTCTTGGGATTTTGAGCATGCACACACACATACCCACCATGATATTCAAGCTGCTGGGCCTGGGACTTGAACCATACAGTTGGCCATAAGAGATCCAGCCACCTTAACCACCATACCACAGGCTGGCCCAGCAGTCACATATTTAAGAATGCTGATAGACTGATTGCATTGTGAGGGAGGTTTCCTTCTCATTATTTCATTTAGTGCTATTCTAATGTTGCATGTGCAACAACCACAGGGGGAAAAAAAAGGAGGAAATGTAACAAGGAAGTAATAAGGAAAAAAAGAAGAACCTTGTGCTCATGCAAATCCCTCTGCCGCTGTAAGGCCAGGGTCACTTGCTTCTCAGCTCTCTTCACCAGTTTATCATCTTCCTGAAGGGCGTGACTGGTGCGCAACTCCTGGATCAACTCCAATCGCTTCTCTTTCCCACATCTGTATTGAATCAAGTCAGAGAGAGACTTTGAGTGACCAGCCCTTGTGGCAGCCCTGGGAGTCACACGAGTGCAGTGACTTGTGAGACACTTGTGGACGATGGCTTCCGTTCTGCCTGCTGGTACTGCAGAGCAGGTGTGCCCCACAGAGCTATGCTTCAGCCCTCTTTTCTGACAGAGAGCATAAGCTGTTTACTCAGTTTCTGAAAATACCTCTCAATAACAAAGTGACAACGAAAGGGTCATATTAGGAAACCATAACCCGAGAAGACACCTTCATGGCTCCTGAGAACTAGTGATTTCAGGAGAATAAGAGAAATGAAGATTTTCCACTGATAATTCAGGCTTCAGCCCACAAACTCGAGTGGAGAGGCAAGGGAACAGGCCTTCAGAAGATACCTTCGTGGCTCCTGAGAACTAGTGATTTCAGGGGGATGAGAGAAACGAAGAAAGGTTTTCCCACGGATAATTCAGCTCCCAGTCCACAAACTCAAGTGATAGGAAGCCTTTCAAGCCTCCTGACTCTGTCTCTGTCTCTCTCTATCTCTGTCTCTGTCTTCTCTTTTTTTGTAATTTTATCTTTTTAAAACTTTATAAGGTAAAGCATTTTCTTGGCTTCCAGCCCCTCCTTTCCCTTTATCTTGTTAATAACCCTCCTCCCCTTCCCATCCCAGGAGAGGCAAGGGGACAGGCTTTCAGAGGACACCTTCATGGCTCCCGAGAACCAGTGATTTCATGTGGTGCACAAGCGCGCCATGCAGTTTTCTAATTTTTGCATTCTTTTAAAATAGTTTTTTAAAGTTTAACTTTTTCTTCTCTTTTTCTGTTTCTTGGTTGTTTTTGTTGCTGTTGCATCTCTCTCTGTGTTTCCTTTTCTGCACACTCCTGGATGCTCAGATTCAACTTCAAGTTTGGGAGGAAACACACCATCCATCAGATGACTAGAAATCACCCCAGGGCCATGAGAAATCTGGGAAAGCAAGAAAATGCCTCTCCTCCAAGGGAAAAGAATAACTCCTTTTCACCCACAGACAGTCCAATGGAAATCATGGAAATGTATGATAAAGAATTTAGAACATTCATAATGATGAAGCTAACAGAGATGGAAGAGAAGAGAGACAATGAACTGCAGAAGAGAAAGGAGAAAGGAGCTGACGAGTTCCAGGAGGTGAGAAAATTCTTGCAAGAGCTAAAAGAGGAATTGCACACTTTACAAAAGAATCAAATGGAACTGTTAGAGATGAAGTCTATAATACAGGAAGTCAAAATCTCCCTTGAAAGTATTAAAAGCAGACTAGATCATACAGAAAATAGAATCTCAGACGTAGAAGAGAAAATTGCTGGCCTAGAAAAATCCACCATGAAGACTGAGAAAATTGCCCCGAAATTTGAGAATAATATATAAGAAGTACTAGCTACCATCAAATGTCCAAACAGCTGGATAATTGGCATCCCAGAAGGTGAAGAGACTCATAAGGGCATTGATAATCTATTCCATGAAATC